ACTCCCACGTCATTTCCCTACTTGTATTATTAAAATAACCCTCTCTGTGCATCTCAGTCACTTTCTCCCTCATTGCCAGTCAATAACATGTCAAATCACAGAGTTTCTACTTCCTTGTAACTTTTCCCCAGACCTGTCTTCATTTTATTGATAGACTCTTAGACTTGCAATAACATTTGAACTATTTTCTTGAACTTTTACCTTTCCTGACTACAATATTCAACCTCTATCCTGCTCACAGATTAATCTTTCCAATTTATAGCCCAATAATGTAATTCCCATACTCAAACTCATTTAGAGGCTCTAAACTAATAAACTATATGAGTCAATATTTCTCATCCTGGTATTCAACATATGCTGAGGCTGTATTTCTAAGCTCATTTCCCAACGTTTATCTATGTCCAACCTATGATTGCCTTACATTGCTAGTCTAGACTCTACTGATGTTCAATATTCCTATTCAGGAAGCTACATTCATCTGGAACCTCCTCATTTTCAAGATTCATAGTTCATGATAATTTCCACTTTTATATGAAGACATTTCTGATGTCCCTATACCCAAAACTAAGCTAGTTGTGAATTCTCCATATCACTCTTGATTTAACACTCAAGGCCTACAGTATAATCACACTAATAATTATTTGGGTCCTCCTCCCCCCTCCACCCCCCACTTCTAAGGCAAGGACTGATTGATCTCTATAAACCTTCAGCATTTAGTATAGTATGCCTTTCAGTGTGTATGATCTATCTCTTTTTCATGAAATTGAATGTTAAATCACTAACAAATGAATTTCTCCAAGCAATTAAATTCTTCCTCACATATCAATACAGTGATGTTTGCTCCTGCCTGCAAATGCCTAAAACATATTAATCTTTCCTAAATTAGTATAAAGTTCAAAAAGCAAATGGCACTGGAAGAGGCAATTGCTTTCAGGCCTCCCTTTTCTTGGAATCCCTCTTCATTTAACTTCTCTCAGACCCAATAGTCAAAAGCTCATTGATCAAGACTTAAAAGCCAAAGGGGCTTAAAGCCCCGGTAGGAGTCTGTTCAGTTTGAAATATAATTTGAAAACCTCAGGAAAGAATGACAGTTCCTTTTCAGGAACCTCCCATCATATCTCATAAAACAGCTTTCCAAATTGGAGATAGTATAATATTATACCACCAACCAAGTAATAAAAAGCAATTCACTGCCAAGTAGAAAGATCCCCTTGATTTTCACAAGGAGCACAAAAGACTATATTGTATTTATTTAAATCTCAGGCTGATAAAAACATCAGAAAGAAAAAGAAAGCAGTCAATATCTCTAAAAGATCATTATTTAAAGAAATAAATTACTATGCAGAAAAGCATGGATCTTCCTGACAACTTATGAATTTAAGACACGAAATACTTCCCTCCCCACCTCCAATAATCAACTCTGCGGATGAAATACGTTAAGCATTCTAAGTTTGGGGAACATAGAGAGCTTTGAAATCAATGTGTTTCCGGTTGCAAGGGTTAGGGGGGGAAACGTACTAAATCAGCTTAAGAAATGCTTCATTTCCTGCCCCATATCTGGGAAGGAAAACATAAAACAGGCAGAACCAGGTGCAAAAAAATCATACACGTGGTTGGGAAAACCTCTCCAACTCCTAGGCACCGCTCAGGTGGTTGAACTATGCTCCCAAGCTAGAGCTTTCTGTTCTAAGATACACGGAGTGGTTTTTACAAACACTCGCTTGAAGTTAACAGATAGGTTTGTTGACAGAGGTTGAAGAAGATGGTCATTATGTAACTGTTGTCTGGGCTCCAAAGGGAAATTATCGGACTTGGGTAAATAGTTCATTAGAAATAAGACACCATTAACAGAGAGAGTAGGCTCATTACCGGTGAGCTAACGGAGGTTGGTATTCTCCCAAAAAAATGACCAGGTAGAAAAATCTACTAGGTCATCTCTGGGTTGTCCTTCACCTTTCCACCTTCCTAATGCCTGGATTTTGCAGGCTGCTTCTATTGATCCTATTCCCCTTTGCTTTCAGAAAGACACGTAATTCATTCAGAGTTTAATGATGCCAGGAAAGCAGTGTCCTCACGGATGCTCACAGACTTGAAATGCTCAGCAGCCCAACCCAGCCTTTCAGAAAGTATACTGACCTGACACCTGTTTGTAAGCAGTGCTTTCCATGCATAA